TTTTTTTTCCTACATGTTGTAGGCAACAGGTTTTGTTTTATTGACGTTGCATGAGTAGGAAGAGTCAGTTAACAATTTGGTGCTGCATGTCTCTTTCTTAGAAGCTGTGCCAGATTTATTCCTCGATGCTTTTGTGGGATGGACTTATCGTTAATAAATGGTTCATGAGTATCATTAAGTGCAATTTAAATTAATTAGGGAGTGTACATGGGCAGGGGCGGGTACATGTGGCGAACAAAGACAAGGTAAAACGAAAAATTTAAGAAATGGCTCAATTGAAAAAATGTATTCATGTGGCTGACATAAAATAAATTGATTTCACATAGTGAAATATGTTTATGGCACTTATCTTTTAGTTTACGGAGCCAACTTTTGTTCATGTTCCTCCTCTATATATCATATTTGTGTATAATTGCATGTGAGAGGCGCACATTTCTTATACGTTATTTGATTTAATGTTGAAAGAAAGAACTCAGCATGTTTTTTCGAAACATTAATTGCGTGATTAAGAATGTTCATATATATGACAATCGTATAAGCTGGTATAAGAGGTTGTTATGGAGAAATACCCCCTTGTTTACCTAAAGTGAATATCAAAGAAAAAAATCTGTAGTTTCATCTTATATCACATTATGCGTGCATGAATGAATCTTAAAAGAATCTGCTCCCTATCACTATCATAATTGATTTGTTTGGCTGAATTTTTTGCGTGCTAGGGTGCCAAGTTGAGCAATACCAATTTGAAGGATGCAAACCTTCAACGAGCTTATTTACGGCAAGTGAATCTTCGAGATACGGTAATGAAAGCTGGGGCTTATAGCTTTCCTTTTGTTCGTCTCAACTCTCAAATTGTAATATATTTTTACATGTGCATAATCTAAGGTCCATTGTAGCATTGAGAAGGCCAAGATCTTTTCTTGATAACTTAGTTGATAGTTGTATCTTTCAAGGCAAGGAATTGAGGATGTGACTGTTCTTTTTATGTTTTGAACAGCATTTGGAAGGTGCAAAGCTTGATGGTGCCAATTTACTCGGAGCTATGAGATGAAACTGAGTGTTGCTATTGTAGATCCTGTGGAGGTTTGTAATTCTGTTTGTGTATAACCTATTTTTGTCATCCTTTGTCTCCGTCTTGCCAAGATTCCCATTGTCCAATTTCTGGGTTGAGGCCACCACCCTAGTAATCAAATGATGTGGTTTGTACATAAATCTTTTTACCCAAATTCAATTCATTTGGTGATAAATGTCTAGTAGTTATAAAGATGAAAGGGTAAATTATGACAACGGTCACTGAATCTGTACCCGATCTTCACTTTCGTCCTACAATACAATACAGTTCTTTAATGGGAGTTTCACTAAAACACCCAAAATAGAGGTTGAAATTATAAAAAAACCCAACACCCAAAACACTTTATAAACACACCCAAAACCCATCATTACACACACTCAAAACTCATTTATAAACACACCCAAAAAGTTAACTTTGGGGTTGATTTTGGGTGTGTTTCTATGTTTAAATAGTGCTTGGGTTTTTTTATAAATACATGTTTAGAATTGGGTTTATTTATAAATTTGTATTCTTTAATTTAACTGTGGTCCTCGTACTTCTACGTGTGTATCGCTTTCTGATTATAAATTCCTCCAACATTTTGTTAATTAAAGGGGTAAATTAGTAATTCTACCTTACATCAATAACAAGTTAGAATAAAAAATATAAAACAAGATTTAAGAATTAAAAATCAAGTTAAAAAAACGTAAATGAGTGGAAATTTTACCCATGCTACTCTGCACATCTAGACTAGACCGCATCTACATGATCATCCACTGCTCTACATGCCTCCCCTTCACTGCACCTCAGGCACCGTAAAATTTCACTGACACCTCAATAATTGAACTGGGGGGGGGGGGTTGACCAAAAAAAAAAAAAGGCCAAAGTCAAACTTGGATTCAAGTTGAAGGATCATTACCATATAATTCTTTTTTTACTTTTTACTTTGCTTTTTAATTGAGAAATAAAATTATTAATTTACGCTTCAAATCAATAGAAAGGTTAACAAAATTTGACCCAATGATAATCAATGCATCACTTCTGCTCGCTTAATTCTGTGTGTCCTTTTTTATTTATTTATAGAAAATATGATATTGCATTGGTAAGAATTAGCATGTTAACGGAAGCCTAGTTAAAACATTCTTAGAGAAAAATAGAATATCGGGAGAAGAAAGAGTATCACTCATATTATTGACTAAACAGAAGAGTCAAATAAGAAAGAAGATAGGATAGATTACTCAAATAGTCCTCAAACTTGTACGTGATTTACATTTTGGTCCTTAAATTAAATTATTAGTCCAAATGGTACATAAACTTTATTTTAATCG